GAAGGGGGGCCTGGGGGCTGAAGTGAGGGTGCAGGAGGGGACACCTGCAGCTGAGAGTGTCAGTGGAATGGGAGGCGCTGCGCCTGGTGGTGCCTCACTTTCTGTGGGGACTGCAGGGATGCAGCATGGCTTGAGGAGGTCATGGCTGTGACATGGAAGGGCCTGAGAAGCAGGGCTGCAGCGTGGGACTCATTCTGCCCCTGTGCCTGCCCATGTGAGACCCTGTCTTCACATCCTCAGCACAGTGATGTCAGAGGAGGGAGCAGGCTGGTAGCGGAGGGGAGTTCCCAGGAGGACGTCACTTCCAGGCCTGGCTCTGAGAAGAGGAGAACTGAAAGTGTCCCAGGACGGGAAACTGGTCACATCCTCAGTGCACCCGCTTTTCCTGCGTGGGGGTGTGGAAGCGGCTGAGACCCTGCTGTCACATCTTCCTCTGGATCAGTGTCTTGAGGTGGATAAGTGGGGTGCTGGCACTTACCAGAACCAAAACAGTTGTCAAGAAAAATACTTAGTGTGTTATCTTAACAAAACTTGTGCAAAAATCCACGCTAATCAAAGTGCCAACATTTTAGACAAAGGTAGTGTCAATCTTACTGGCTCATGTGGCCTCAGGTACCAGAGGGGCCTGCAGTGCCCCACGGTCTTGGGAGTTGGACTCTGGACCCCGTCCATAGGCCTGAGTACTCAGGCCCTCTACGCAGCACCCCTGTGGTGGTTCATTCCCTTCCCAGGTCGAGTTCTGAGTTTCCAACTCCCAGTATTGTGTTCTGAGCAACCCAGGAAGCCAGAGCCGAGGCAGCAAGGGAGGACAGGGTCCCTCAGCTGGAGGGTTTCCTGGGCCACCTGGAGCAGCCTTGGTGGGTGGCTTGGTTTTCCCGGAGGACTGTCTTCATGGTGCAGTAGTGATGTCTGACAGCCCAGCCCAGTACCCTGAGCCCAGCAAGCTCAGAGGCTGAGAGAGGGGAGCGGAAGGGGCAGGGAGGAAGGACGCCTGCAGACCCCCAAGGGGCACACACAGCCCTGGGTAAAGGGCTTGGGCTTCCCACCCTCCACCAGGCAGTCTAGGAGGTGGCATGGGCCACCAACCAAGGAGTGGGTAGCCGAAGCCTGGGCATGGTCAGGGCTGTCAGTGTTCAGTGTTGCCAGGTGTCTGTGGGGGTCCATTGTCCTGCAGGGCCTAAGAAAGAGCAGCAAGTGCCTCTCCTGGCTCTGCAGGGGGCTGCAGGCTCTGGCCCCCTGTCTTTGTGACACAACACCCAGACTTGGGCTGTCCTCCAGATGGCCCTCTTTCCTGATTGCTGGGACAAGATGCCCACTTCTGCCTCTGGGTTTATTTCATATGGTGCAAGTTTCAGGTCTGCTTGGTCAGTGTGTGGTGGAAGGGCCTGGCAGAAAAGAGCTACTCCCAGCATGGCCAATGGGAAGCAGAGAGTGGCAGGAGGGAGGGGAGTGGGCCCAGCGGTGTCCCTGCACAGGCTGCCGGGCGTCCACTTGGCCCAGGCCCCCTGCACCAGTATGGCTCTCGGCCCAGCTGGAAGCACAGACTCGCTCCGCCCTGCAGGGCAGGCTGCAGGCAATGGTGGCAGGTAGATGGGTGCCGGCAGCACCAGATTCCGAGGCTGGGATGGCAGGCTGGATGTACACCCAGGCTCTGGAGAGCGCCCAGGCAGCACCTGGTATTGCCCACCTCCGAGTGTCACAGCACAAGGTGGCTCCCCGTGGCCTGCTGGGCAAGGGGTGACAGGACAGAAAGTAGGGGAGCCAGGCCCAGAATGCCACTGGGGTCCTTGGGGCTCCAGACAGGAGCTGGAGTGCCAGCGAGACCGGGCACCAGCTGCGCCACCCTTGGCCAGCCATGCCCCTTCTCTGGGCCTCGGTTTGCACCTTTGTGGAGTGGGGGTCTGCTGGCACTCGCAGCTCCTTGAAGCGCAGGCTAGGTGAGGTCCTGTCTGCAGTGGTGGGCAGGGGAGCCCTAAGGCCTGGTACAGCCCCAAGGTAAGCGTGCCTGCCCCCAGGACTGTGGGGGTGAGGGACGCTCTGGCCCCTTCTAGGCAGCTTCTGAGGAGGCAGACCGGGGCTGCAGCGGGGGAGGGCCAATCTGGAATTTCCCTGTGCTGCCCAGGCTGGGGTCCGACGCTGTGTGAGCCTGGCCCAGTGTGGACTGCCTCTGCCAGGAAGAGGTGTGGGGTGCGGCTCCTGACCACAGGCGGGGGAGGTGGGGGTTCCCTGGGCAAGGCCACAGTCTGCACAGGCAGTGGGAGGGGACACTGCGAGGGCGGAGCCAAGCGCCTGGCTCTGCCTCCTCAAACTGTTCAGAGTGATGCGGCTCTGCTAAGATGCTGAAGCTTAGTGCGTGGGGGTTGGGGGGGGGTGCCCATTTTTCGTCCTGGAGCCGCCACCCCTTCCCACTGGGCCCGCCTACATCAAGGAGGGGCACAGCCTGGGGGCTGGCCAAGCCTACTGTGCCTCCTGCCTCACAAGGCGCTCTGCTCAGCCTGGAGGGTACTGATGACAGCAGGTGGGTGCTGGAATAGGGCTGGGGATAGGGCTGGGGTGGAGACTGGGGGTGGGGGTTTCTTGTCCAGGGAGCTTGTGCTGGGGTCTTCTAGAATGTGCTGGGGCTCTGCAGGAGCCCCTCAGAGCTGGCCATGGGTCCAGGACCTCTTAAAATGGGAGGGGGCTGTGCTGGGGACCCTGATGCTTGGGGCATTGACTTGGAGGAGCTGGGTGCAGCATGCATGCGCTGGCCACAGCTGCCCTCTGAGAGGGCTGAGCTGCTTGAGAGGGGTCCCTCAGGGCTTTGGTGCACCCGTCTGTGGGCCTGAGATCCTTGGGAGTGATGGCCCGTGTTGGAACAGAGTGTAACTGAGCGCTTGCCCTAGAGACAGGCAAGTTCAGTCTCGGGTCCTGCGTGTGTCTACATGGGGGCTGGTGCTTGGTCACCCACCTGAGGCCCTCTGTGTCCACTCACTCTGTCCCCATGGTGTGGCCAAGCCCCAGGGGCTGCAGCGAGCTCAGCCACTGCTGGGAGCCAGGAACTTCTCTCCTGGATGGGCGGCTTTCAACCTCCTCTTGTGCCATCAGCCGAGTCTCAGCATCAGAGGAGGAGAGGTCCGGTAGAGGGCTGGGGTAGGGACGGGGGGGGGGGCGGTGTTCTCAGCCAGGGAGCCAAGGAAACCAAGGCCCAGAGAAGGGGCATGGCTGGCCAAGGGTGGCACAGCTGGTGCCCGGTCTGCCTGGTGTTCCAACTCCTGTCTGGAGCCCCCAGGAGCCCAGTGGAGCCCTGTCTCAATGGAGCATTAGTCCCATGCAGGTAGGAAGTTACAGGGGCCCAAGTCTCCGTTTCCCCTACCCAGGGTTCCTGGCAGCTTCTCCAAACCGAAGTGCTCACTGCAAGCGACTGGGAAGGAGTCAGTGTGAAATTGTGAGGTCTGGGTCCCTGCTAGTGGGTGCAGGAAGTCCCAGGAGGAGCCAGAGTCTTTCCATTGGTTTTGTGGCACTGCAGTTTGAGCCCGAGCTGCAGCCCCAACTGCAGGGCTGAGTAGGATCTCAAGGCGGGGTCCTGGGGGTCGTGAGAGGCACAAGGCCTCAACACAGCTGGTATCAAGGGCTCAGGCTCCCTCCAAGGGGCCTCAGAGCCAGGGCTGAAGAGGACAGAGAGCAGAATCCTTCCAGGGGATAGAGGCAGAGCCACGAGTGGTGTGGAGACCACACAGGACGCTTGGGGCTTAGCTGCTGGCAAATGCGCCTTTCTAACCCGACAGCGAAGTCTGAGGAGGTGGAGGCAAGTGAGCACTGCCTGGCTGTGGGCCTGGAGGTCCTAGGGCCCCCAGCCCTGAACTCTTATGTCTTCAGTCCCAACTGGGAGTGCTTCCCTCTTCCATGCCCTCCGGCACCCTCAGGGGAGCTGGTCTGGCTTGGGGCGCAGGGGGCGAGTAGTACCTCCCTCCCCTAAGAATCTCAAAGGGAAGCGCAGAGGCCTGCTCTTTGATGGACTGCTGGCTCCCAGCCCACCCAGACCCACCTCCGGGACCCCAGTGCTGGCACTGGCTAGCTGTCCTCATCAGGATCCCAGGCAGCGCCCTACAGGGGCCCCACTTGCAGCGGGCAGGAGGATGTCGGAGTTGGGGCATCCAGAGTCTGGTTACCTTCACTGCTGGCCATGGCCCAGGCCACCAAGCTTGGCCCTCCTGGGAACCAAGGGGCTGGCATGCATGAGGAGGGGTGACGGGCACTGCCAAGGACAATGGGGCAGGCCTCAGCTCTGGCCAGCAGGGTCAGGGCCTGGAGGGACAGGGATACCCTCATGCTACGTCCTTGGGAGCTCTGTCCTGGAGTTCTAGGTGGACACCTGCTCCCAGCTGTGGCTGGGATGGATTTGATCCAGGGAGGACATCCAGAGGACAAGGAGCAAGGGGGAAAGGTGGGGCTCTAGAGCAGTCAGTCCTGCACTCCACCCCTGCTGTACTGTGCTCCATGTCATAGAAAGACCATATGGAGGACAGGGCCATAGCTCATGGGGACAGGTGCCCAAGCAGTGGAGGTGCCTCCCAGCCAGGTTGGTGGGGCAGTGGGCAGCTGCGACTCTGCCCTGGGGCCTGGGATCCTCAGGTCAAAGGGTGCCACCTCAGGGTCTCTGCCTAGAGCTGCAGGCTATGAGATTGGCCAGCTTGCCCTGTCCAGCACAGAGCTCTGATGGCTTGGGGGTGGGGTGGGGGGAGCCTGCAGTAGGAAGTCTAGGGGAGGAGGGCTTGGGAGACAGAAACTGATCTGCCCCAGCTCCACAGCCGTGGATTCCCTTGGGGTCTCTGAAGGCCTTGGTTTCCCTACCCATCCATAAGGCGGGAGTAGCCCTGAGGGTGACCTCGGCTTTTCAGGTTCTATGATTGCTCTGGACATCTGTGGTCTTTGTACAGGGTGGGGGCCAGGGGCAGGCAACTTGGGAGCAGGGTGGGGCTGCTGCAGCGCCCACCCTCTGCTGACTCCTGCCTCTCCTGCAGCCTGGGACCATGAACGGTACATGCCCATCCCCCCACGGGCCCTACGCTCTCCAGATCTTCACTGTTGTCTACTCAGCCGTGCTGCTGTTGCTGGGCCTGCTGCTCAACGGCCTGGCACTCTGGGTGTTCTGCCGCCGCATGCCGCAGTGGACAGAGACCCGCGTGTACATGACCAACCTGGCTGTGGCTGACTTCTTCCTGCTGTGCTCCCTGCCCTTCATGCTACTCTCCCTGCAGGACAGCAAGGACACGCTGCTGTGCCAGGTCTCACAGACCATCTACATGGTCAACAGGTACATGAGCATCAGCCTGGTCACGGCCATTGCGATGGACCGCTACATGGCCTTGCGGCACCCGCTGCATGCCCGCAGGCTCCGCTCCCCAGGGCAGGCGGCAGCTGTGTGCTTGGCGCTCTGGATCCTGGTGATCGGCTCCCTGCTGCTCCGCCTGTACCTGGGGCAGCAGGAGGGTGGTTTCTGCTTCCGGAGCTACTCACGGCACCAGTTCAGCTCCACCATCCTCTCGTTGCTCGGCTTCTACCTGCCGTTGGCCGTGCTGGTCTTCTGCTCCGTGCAGGTGCTGATGGCGCTGGCCCACAGGCCGGCTTCTGACACAGGACAGGCTGAGGCCACCCGCAAGGCCACCCGCATGATCTGGGCCAACCTGATCGTGTTTGTGGTCTGCTTCCTGCCACTGCACGTGGTCCTGACTGTGCAGGTCGCTGTACCCCCCAGCTCCTGTGTGGCCCGCAGGGTGTTCAGCCTTGCCCTCTCCACCACCAGCCAGCTGTCCAATGCCAACTGCTGCCTGGATGCCATCTGCTACTACTACATGACCAAAGAGTTCAAGGATGCATCTGCACGGCCCTCAGCCTCCAAGAGCCAAGACTCCCAGAGCCTGACCCTGTCCTAGGAATGTGTTGCCCATATGGCCTGAACCCGTAGGGCCCAGATCAGCCTGAGCTCACTGTGGGGCATGACCTTCCAAGGCCCAAGTGGGTGGGAGCACAGGGTACGGAACCTGGGGACACTGCCCCTGCTCCCTTGGGAAGGATGGGGTGAGGGCCAGGGACCCCAGCTGGCTATACTGCTGCCAGCAGAAGCAGGTGCCCGGGGCACTGTGGGGGCGCCTCGATGGCCAGCCTTCTGCTCTGGTCCCTAGGGCAGTGATGGAGACCACTACGAAGCGGCTCTGAGCAGGACCTAAGTTAGCCAACCGGCCTTCCATGTGAGGCTGTCGGAAGCCCAGGCCCCTTGACTGGTGACGGGCAGTGCACTCCTAGTGGGTGAGCCTCTGAACTGCTGGTCCCAGCTTAGGCCTGTCATGGCCTATGAGGCTATAACAGCTCAAAGGATAAGACGAGGCCACAGCTGAGGACACCTGGCTCCAGCCCCAAGAACTCAACAGACACGTAGCTGCAGGCATCTCCCTTCTGCAGCAAGGGTCAGCCTGGAGATAAGCTAGCCCTCCAGTTAGCTTGATTTCCTACTCGGGGAAAGTCTCTGAGCTGACTCCCAAGGTCCTGCCCAAGTCTGGCGCTTTCTTCAGTTGTTCTCCTTTGTTTGAAAATCAAATAAATGTGGGGCACCAAAGAAATGTTTTGTCTCAGCCTCCAGAGAATCTTGAATTCTGCTAGAGGGTTTAGACGCCCCCCAGCCCTAAAATCATACCACTTCTCTCCTTCCTCCCCTCCCCTCCCCT